ACTATTACGTCCACGTATCGTCCAACCGCCGAGGCTTTATGGTTTGCCAAAGATACACAAAACTAACGTACCATTACGACCAATAGTGAGTCAGATAGACTCACCCACGTTTGAATTGGCAAAATATGTGTCTCGTACACTAACACCTCTAGTAGGCACAACGAACTCTTTTGTGAAGGACTCCAGGCATTTCATTGAGATCCTAAACAGTACCACAGTTAACGAGAATGAGACAATGGTTAGTTATGACGTTGAGTCTCTTTTCACAAACGTACCAATAAAGGAGTGCATCGACGTTATCAAAGTGAAACTTCAAGAAAATAACATCCCAATGGAGATTGCTCAATTACTTGAACATTGCTTAAACACGAGCTACTTCCTGTATAATGGCCAATACTACCTTCAGATTGATGGTGTAGCGATGGGCAGTCCCGTTGCTCCCGTTGTTGCCAACATTTGGATGGAACACTATGAACACGCCGCCATTCTGTCAGCACCATCAACAATAAAATTATGGAAGAGGTATGTTGATGACGTATTTTGCATAATGGAAGGAAAGGAGCAACATATACAAAATTATTTAGCACGTCTTAATAACACCCATAACAAAATGAAGTTCACATGTGAAATTGAGAAAAATCGCGCGCTTGCATTTTTGGATGTATTGGTCAAAGCCCGACAAGACGGTTCACTCGGTCATTCTGTGTACAGAAAACCAACTCACACGGACAAATATTTACATGCCACTTCACATCATCACCCAAAACACCTACATTCGGTCGTCAGGTCATTAACCAACAGAGCTTATGATCTTTGTGATTCACACCACCTACCACAGGAACAGGAGCACGTTAAGACGGTTTTGCGACAGAATGGATACAAAATAAAAACATTTAAACCAATACACAAAAGGAAGAAGCAAATTGACGTACAGAGACCAGTTTTTCTGCCCTATGTACAGGGGTGACAGATAAAATAGCCAGGTCGCTAAGGAAGTTTTCCATAAAAACTGTTTTCACCCCCTTAACCAAAATAGGAAAAATGTTACGTTCACCAAAAGACCACCTTCCTTTACAAACACCGGGTGTCTATAAAGTGAACTGCAGTTGTGGGAGCTCGTATATCGGTCAGACTAAACGAACAATTGTCGATCGTATGAAGGAACACATCCGAGCAGTAAAAAACAATGATGCACAGAAGTCGGCTATAGCACAACATCTCACACAGACTGACACTAACCACTGGATCGAGTTGCATAGCCCCCAGGTACTCTCGACAGAACGTCACTACCTACCACGGTTGGTACGAGAAGCCATCGAGATCACGAAGTACAAAACATTTAACCGTGATGATGGTTTTAAACTGTCCAGTGCATGGAATCCGGTCCTTAGTGCGTGCAGTAATAAAAACAAAAATACCTCGAGTTCAGTTTCGCGTGTGGATACAGTGAGTGTGGTTTGTGTGAAAAAAGTGAGTGACAATGGTAACGCCACAACAAATCGCGATGAAGGTAGTCGTCGACAGCGCAAGAGGGTAGACAGATATGTCTGCTCATAAAGCTGTCATCTGCCGCCGTCCAGTCAACCCGTGACCATGGAGCGTGCAACCGTTCCGAAATATCGGGAAAATAAAAAGAAGTCATACCGTGGTAAGAAACCTGATACTAGTGATAATCATTAATCAATTAAATTTCAATCAGATTAAAAAATCTATTCAATTGCAATTGATTTCAATTGAATTGATTTTAATTGCAATTAGATTAATTTTATTAGTTGTTCTAAGAAACAATTGAAACTAACAATTAAAACCGAAACTACCAAGTAAAAGTGTCATTACGAATATGGGTTAGGGGATGGGTTTGGGGTGTGTTAGGGGCTCGGTTAGGGGGCCGGTTGGGGGTCGGTTAGGGGTCAGTTGGGGGTCGTTTAGGGGTAGGTTAGGGGGCCGGTTGGGGTTCGGTTGGGGGTTGGTTAGGGGGCCGTTTAGGGTGCCGGTTGGGGTCAGTTAGTTGGCTGGTTAGGGGATCGGTTAGTGGGTCGGTTAAGGGTTTGGTTAGGGAGTGGGTTAGGGGCGGGTTAGGGGCGGGTTAGGGGCGGTTTAGGGGATGGACCCCCTAACTGACCCCTTAACCGACCCCCTACCTATCCCCAACCAGCCCCCTAAGCGACCCCTATCCGTTCCCTAATCGACCCCCTAACCGAACCCCAACCGACCACTTAACCGGTCGCCAACCGACCCCCTAACCGACCCCCTACCGACACCTAACCGATCCCCAAACCGACACCTTAACCGACCTCCAACCGGACCCCCTAATCGAGCCCCTATCTGAGCCCTAACTGAACCCCCAACCGGCACCCTAACCGACCCCCCAACCTTCGTGGTGGTATTATATGTGAAGAACTACATACAAAAAATATATGTAATTAGATTGAAGTCGTTGTAAATGACGAAGTAAATGCAAGTGATCAATTACTTTTTTGCAAAGAGCATCTATTATATGTATGTATGTGTATATGTGTGTGAGTGTGTGTGTGTGTGTGTGTGTGCGTGTGTGTGCGTGTGTGTGCGTGTGTGTGCGTGCGTGAGCGAGCGTGCGTGCGTGCGTACGTGCGTGCGTGAGTGCGTGCGTGCGTGCGTGCGTGACTGCGTGCGTGCGTGCGTGCGTCCGTGTGTGTAAAGCGGAACGTTCAAAAAATGAAGTATGAAATTATTTGATTTTTAATTCGGGACTTAATCACGTATAAACATATTTTATTTACCTCGACGTTTCGGACATATTGCAACGTCCATGGTCTCGCAGGGACTGAAGAGGCGGGTGTCAGCATCTTCTAGTTGTGCGAGTTTTTCTAACTACCCGCACTTTATCTTCATTACTTATTTGTGCACTAAGGTTCTCACTACACCGACACACAACACTCACCACATCTTAAATACTCGTATTCAATGCAGAAGAAGCACATTTGCAGGTGGCAACAGTGCATGGTATTGTCAAAGACGTCAAAGTCATCTTTTCGAGGTTATAACTTAGAGTAGCAGGGTTCTAGGGTTATAGCCGCCATTTTGCGGTTGGTTTAAATTGCACATTTGCATCCTTTATAGGCCGAGTAGATAGGGATAACGTATCGCGTGAGCGTAATTTGTGTTGTGAACGTGTTATGAATGGCATTTACACGTATATACAGTATTCGTCATGTACAGGAATATTAATAATAATTATACGTACTTCGTGCTCTGAAGTATGGTTGTATTGGTTTAACACTTTTTTTCTGGTAAAACTGAATATTTAAAACTTCTTTTTCAAGATATGTATTGTGGAAGGAAATGCTTTGAAGGAAATTGTTGGTTTCCACATGTCGCGACAAGTATGCTAATAAAGTATTTTGTAATTTGTATTTGTATTTTGTATTTTAAATACACCCCATGAAAGTATTTTGTATTTTGTATTTCAAATACACCTCAAGAAAGTATTTGGTATTTTGTATTTTAAATACATTTAAGGAAGTATTTTGTAATTTGTATTTCAATTAAGATGTAGCATGTATTTTGCCCAGCCCTGAGTACAGGGCTGCCCTAGTTTGGGAGCTGATTGATGGCCTGTCCACTTGCTTTTTTGACAGATTATGTACAACTCATAATTTGTATTTATTTGTCACCTTTTGGTATTTGTATTACTGTTATTATTGTTGTACTGAATAAATGATTTATTATTATTATTTGGTGCATTAAGTTACACAAAAATCGGTTTTATTCATTATAGAATCCTAACCCAGGCATTTACCCAACGTGACTTTAGTAACTTTGTTAAATATTTTTAATTTTTTTAAATATTTTTTTTGATGCTAAATCCGCAGTGTTTACCGTTATATGAAGTATGTAAAAAAATCGCAAATATTTTGTACTATAACCGCATGTGAGGATATTACGGTTTTCCTTGCGGTTCCAGAGATATGATTTTTCATATCAGCTCCATACAATATTTAAAAAAAAAAAAACTAATCAGTTTTCATGTCAAACTAACTAGCTTGATAAATTTGAGTATAGTAATACAGAACTGAATCTATTTCTAGCAAAAAAAAAAAAACACTTTAAAATAAAAGTTCCTAAATCTATGAAAGCCGATTTTCAGCCCACTGTGCGGCACTACCAAAAACTACTTTTGTTTCCTAGACGCCAAGTCTGATGATGTGACATGTTATAAATTTTAACCTTATATTAATTCAATTCTCCTAAAGTTAACGAAAAGCATAACTGAACATATATAATGCAACTATGAATCCATACTTAACAAATAACACATGGTTTCTTTGACGCTTTAAAGCATCACTATGGTGGTCAAAAAAAGATGTATGTTATAATGATGAAATATTTAAAAATGACTCTTTTTCACAATAATTAGGATGCAGTTCGGTGAGACCCAGCCCAGGCTACGCTCATTTAAATGATATGTTGGTAATTGCTCACTTTGAGCCACAACATCTGTTACTTAGAATTTACAAAACAATAGACTAATCATTACTCACTAGTGACATGCAGCTGCTGGAATAAACGATGGTTTATTATTTTGTTCATTTGGTTAAACCTACATGTCCACTTGCGTAAAGCAATAACTAAACACGATAATTAATAAGTTGTCCAACATGTTTCATCACAGCAATTTTTTTGTTTGTATTTTTCCCCTAAAGACTCAGTTTCTCAGTAAAATAAAAATTGTCTTATGTGATAGGAAATGAAACTATTTTTCCGAATTTGCATGTGGTTTGCATCAATATTAGACATAACTGGTTGAAGACTGTACCACCTCAGTCAACCGTGACCATGGGACCTGTAAAAGGCCCGAAACGTCGGTTTGTTTGAAATAACAAATATACGCGATTTAAATCCGGAAAAATAGTTTCATTTCCAAAAAAACCTAAGAACTCGATATGTCTTATGTGATGTTTATCTTCATATTTTATGGATGACGATGCAAACATTAAATAAATATCTAGTGAAAAACATACCATTAGAGAGTTCGAGTCGTTTAGAAAGTGTGTCGCATTCATCTCGTAGTCCAGTGACGTAAGCCCTTAACCTCTGCGCGTGGTGGTGTGGGGGTGGCGGTGCGGCCAAAATTTTCGTCTCTCGGTTAAGTGATGCTAGACGGGCTTTTTCCTGCGCCAGTGCTGCCGCTAGTCGACCCAGTCGCTCTTTCTGCCGCTCTATTAGGGAACGTCCTGAAATCACTTTCGAAGATTAGACATCTGTATTCATCCCACAGAAAAACTCATTTGTATAGTTGAGTATCATTATATTGGGCACTTATAAAAAGTTACCCTATGTAATATTACTAAAGTGTTTAACAATTATATTTACAATTATAATTTAAATGTTTATTTTATAAGCAAAGTAAAATAAAAATAGCCTCAATAAAACAAAATACTATAGTAGACCTCGAACATCGCTTTCCATTCTTTTGTGATGAATGCTTGTAACATGAATTGAAAAATAACCAGTAAACAACACATAATACGACAGATTTGCCTAAATAACATGCACTAACAACTTGTATAGTTATTGTAATCTGAGTACTAATTGTGTCAAAATGTAACAGTAGTTAATAAGACATTAAAATAATATTATATCAATTATCAACTAATAACACTCATTAATAAATTACTAATATTGTACTTGAGATATTGAACAAAGGTTTATCAGAAATTTACAAGCATACCTAAATTAGGCACATCATGTCAACAAGAACCTGTTCAGGCACATACTTAATATTGCTCATGTACTGGTCTGTTCGCTATATAATAAGAATAAAGCCATTGGAATGCTTGTACTGTACAGGTGCAATGTTTTTTCTGTATAGCATAAGAGAGGGAACATACTTAATTAGATATATAAGTACTTAAAAGAATTCTTTAATGGCTGTGACTGTAGCATTTTACACAATAAGTATTAAAATAATGAAATGCTTACATCTGAAGTAAAACAATTAGAAAAGTAAATATAAATTTTTTAGAGACTTGTTTTTTTATTATATGGGTCCTAAGTATAAGGGCCAAACTAACAATTTGATCACTCATTTTTTGTGGGAAATACTTCATTTCATTACAATCTATAAGGTAGTGTTAAAACAAAATGAACCATATTGAAGAAAATCTCGAAATACAAGGAAATATTGAAAATGTACTAGATTGAAAGTTTGGAAGCCTCTCCTGTAAAAATGTGATTTTGTGCTTTGGCCCTTATACTGGGGAATCTCATTAATAAAACATTAAATTGTACTTTCTCAGTTGTTACTAACACTAACTTTTAAGTTATTTTGTTACTAACACTATGGATTTAGAGTCCGAAACAAAATGATCATTATTATTATTATACATAGGACCCATCAATATAGAATAAGTGCCCTGTGTCCTTCTTTGCTGTGCCCTTACAGGGTATCAGATAATAAGGACTCTTATGTTATTTACATCTTTGTATGCTTTATATGGAGCGATAAATAAAATAGAAAATTTACATGAGGCTTTTTTGGTACTAAAAATTCAGTAACTACTGATTTAGAGTTAATTATTTTACTGTGAGACCTTACAAGTTAGAAGTTAGTTACTCTAGAATTATCAACTAAGGGTATTTCCTAGTTTCAGATGAGGCAATTGGTGTGATTATCTTATTTATATTACTATTAACAAGTACAATTTCTACTCACCTTGATTTGTTCCTGGTGGCTCTGGAGCAGGTCTAGATGGTCTTGGAGACATCAGACTCGCATTTCTATTAGGAGGCGGAGGCGCAGGTCGACTTACCGGCCGCGTTGTACTCGGACTGACGGTCACCGTCACATGCCCTTCAAAACCACTGTCATCGTCACGAGACTCCCTTACTGGGCTCGCCATATTTGATGTAGGTGTACAAACTGTTAAATTAACTGATGTTATTGCTCTAGGACTATCATAGTTTTCTAGCCATGGATCATATCCGTGGCTATAGTCCATGTGACAATTGACATTAACAGACAAATTCAGAGGGTAACCACGCTCAGGTCGATACTGGGCAGTCTTCTCTTTGGTTGGAGGGATCTCATGCTTTTGTGATGATACTGGAGAAACAGTATTGGACTGTTCAACCTCAAGTTCTTTTAGTGTTGATTTAAATGCAAGATCTGGATTGGGTTTTATGAAGTTTAGTGTTTTTGGCCGTTCGGGTTTCTCTGGTAGAACTTCTTTCTCCTCTTTGAGTAAGGGTTCCTCTTTCTTTATAGTTTTCTTGTTTTTTCCTTTCTCTAATCTCTCAGGTAAATTGCATTTTATTTTATTACTCTTCAATATTCTATAATTTGTGCTCTCTAAAAGCTCAGGTGTATTTCCATCAACAGTACCCACTTTTTCATTATTTGTATTGTCATTAGTCAATTCCAAATCACTTGGTGATTCCGCACTGTATTTTGCAAAACAATTGTCAATGTTTATAACCGTGACTGGAGACGTATTATTTTTCCTCTCACACCCATTTTTGTTTGTTTCAAGAACATTCTGGTTGTCATCTGTATTTAGTATTTTCTTATTTTCATTTGTGACAGTATCTATGCTTAGTACAGCAGTCTGTGGGCTTTGGCAAGTGACTGATTTGACAGCGGTGGACTTGGCAGCCTCGTGCTTGACTATGGGCTGATTGCGACACTTGCCGGGTGGGTTGAGTTTGAGCTCGTTAAGCTGACGTGCGGCTGCCGAAGATGATGCATGGTAGGCATGTGTTAGGGAGGCCTTGGCTTCGCTGTGGAGGTGAGTTTCACAAGCTTGTTTGTCGTGGCAGTAGAGCTCAATCGTATTTGACACAACATGATCAGGAACACCGGGAAACTTCTGTTTTAGCTCATGAAACAATTGCATAAGCGATATGTTAGTACACGCACATGGTGAAGGGCTGGTAGCGCTTTCGGAGGGGGCAGACATCGCCGCCCATCCTCGCGGAGGCCCACCCCTTCGTCGCGAACTCGCCCTTCACCGGCACACTATGACACAGTTCCCACTCACCGACAAAGGCAGACAAACATCTGTAAATAACGTATTGTCAATATCGTGACGTCACAATCCTTAGAACCACAATTTGTAGTTACATATATAAGCACGGACTTTTGTGGCTGCTCACGCTCATGACTCAATAATCTCAACGATACACATGTGATGAAAAAGAGCACAGAAAGATACAAGGCTGAATTTTTATATCTTTTGTTATCATCATACAAAAAGCTATTTCTCGACAAGTTGCAACATAAAAGCAATAACACTGTGCACTATTTTAGAACTTAAATCTTAAGAATTTATTTTATACCTTGTAAGTAAACCCAATAAATGCCTAAAAATTACAAAGACAGTAATTTTTGCACTCAAAAGTTAATTACGAAAATCGCAGACTTGTCACATCGATTCTGCCATTTTGACAATAGACAATATCCTGATGTTTATACTTTTCGATCCACAGTGGTCAAGAATTTTTTTAATAATCTCGACTCGATTTTGAATTCTTTTTTGTATATTTTAAAACGTAACACTAGCTAAAATAATTCTTTAAAGACATAGATTATTAGAATTTTATATAGCAGAAGTAAGGTTGAACTTTCATGGTTTATTCCGTTTATTTAATCCACTTACTTTTGATCACACTACCCACCACCCGAAAGGAGGAAAAAATGTCTATTATTTGTGACATATGACAAATTAAATGCCACTGTTGGCCACTGTCAATCTATCTATGTAATAAATTAGAAAGATTGATTTAAATAATATATTTATGTCTCTCTAAAATAGAACAGAATTGTGTTTAATTTTGCTGTTAAAGTATTAGAAATTGACATAAACTTTATCTGTTTTACGAGAAAATGGTGGACGACCTTCGTAAATATTTAAATCATTTACTAGAGAAGTACGTATAGCTTTATCTTCATAAATAACGACAGTTTGGTACAATCGTAATAATAAATTTACTTTGTTTCAGAGTCAATGGTTTACATTGCATTTTGATTACGGATAGAGATGGGGTGCCACTGGTACGGGCGGTCACTGAAAGAGCCCCACAGTTGGCACTGAAACCCAATTTTATATCGACGTTTGGAATGGCGACTGATCAGGCCAGTAAACTCGGCCTAGGGCGGAACAAGACTATCATCTCTATGTATTCCAGTTACCAGGTACAGTTTTAGTTTACTAGGTTTAGATAGAGATTTCAAGTATTACTTGTTTACTTCCATATTGTGTAAGATCAATGAATGTTGAAATATACTAAAGACTATAGATTAAAGGTCTTTTTTATTAGTTCGTAATTATATATAAATTTCCTACAATATATCCTATGCAGTATAGTATAGTCTGAGCCACAGACTAGTTGTTGCAGTGGTCTTCGGGGTTGGCCTAAGACTGGGAGTGGATGAGAAAGTCATCTGAAATGACTACGATTATGAGTCTCACCTCTTTTTGACCTTCTTTTTATTTAATAAACATTATTGTCTCTGTTTGCACAATAGATTTTGCATGAATATTTATAATGAAAAAAAAAAATTATATTAATTCTCAATATAAATTTTATATCTAAAATTTTTACAGGTAATCCAAATGAACAAACTGCCACTAGTGATAACTTTCATTGGAAGTGATAATTGTAATACAGGTCACATTCTGTCACTGGAAAATCTAATTGAGCCATACTTAAAGGATCTTTCTACAGTTGTGCAGGATGCACCTTGAGTTTAATATTACTTTTTAGTTCTCTTTTGTATGCCATATTATTCTACAGTCTAATTGTATTAAAAGATACTGAATGCATTATGAGTTAATGCACATCTAAATTACAAAAGGAATAAACGTGGAGTATGCTACACAGCACACATTGGATGCATTGGATGTGTTCATAGATCTTTAATCGTGTCACTGCGATTAGATTAAAGCCATCTGAACAAAATTCATACAGTAAATTATTATGACTGGTAACTTGAATTTATGGAATTTTAGAAACAAAGACAATAGATTTCATATGCAGTTCAATATGAAGTCAACATGTTGCAATAAATATTTTTGGTCAATGTCAAATGATTCAATAATAATTTCAGTGCAGAGGACTAAAAAAACCGACTTCAAAAGGAATGGAATTACATATGATTACCAAGTTTTATTGAAATCGGTTACCAGAAAGTGTGCAAACCCGAATCCATCCCCTAGTTCGCCACTATAGGGGACTTGACACAGGAGATAATAAAAATCGGTTCTCACTACTCAAAGTATATTGAGAGAGCAAAACGCCTTGAATTGGAGAATAGCAAAGTCAACCATTAAAATAATTGCTCCTCATAATAAAATTTAGGCGCGATTTATAAAAATGAATCTTCATGTGTGAACAGCCATCCTTAAAGGTAGAAGATTTTCTTCAAAATTAAATAGGACAAACTTTTTTTCCAACAAAAAAAGAATCATGAAAATCGGTTCACAAATACCGGAGTTATCGCGTAATATACATAAAAAACAGTCGAATTGAGAACCTCCTCCTTTTTTGAAATTGGTTAGCAATTGAATCATTTAACATTGTCAAAACTTAGTTTGCAACTATAGCTCTTAAGGAAAAACTTAGGAATATTTTAAATACAGGCTGTAAATTGGTTTTTGTATATAAAATGTATATATAATAAATGTTATTTGAAATTTTTTAGATATAATTGAGGTAATAAAAACATTTTTTTCATATATTTTAAACTATTTATTTGGCAGTTATTAATAAAATTGTATCATACTTTAATTAATTTAGTGTTAACTAAAAGACCCATAGTTATCTTACAACTAACTATTATACTAACTACTACTACCTATTCATCACAATAAAAGTAATTACTTTTGTAATTCATAGAGTTACAGGAGTGATTAGTGGCTTTCCAGTGAGTGCGTTAACTACATTGTTGGCAGCCAGCTCACCCATTTCAGTGCGGGTACGCACCGTTGCGCTACCGATGTGCGGGAGTACGACTAGAATGGAACAAACATGGTAATTACTTCATATCATTTAAAAATTAAACTTGCGTCCATACGTTTTTAATCATTATTACACTGTAGACAAGTTGGCTAATTCCCTCTACAACTTCTAACATATTTCATTGCTACAATTTGTAGTAACTTAAAGCAAGAAGCCTAGAAGGGGGCATTAATTATCATGCATTGGAGTCCGCCGCGTAATGCAGGATTATGAATGTAGTCTTAATCCTGCATTACGCGGCATTAGCCATTCTGCAATCCTGCAATCCTGCAATACGTCCTGCGAGACTATATGTATATGGCCCATACGCAGGATAATGTGAAAGGGCTGTTTTAGATGAACAGTTCATGTAAGGGCGCGTTCTCATTATGTCGTGACAACAGAGTGTCGTGGAGTTTAAAGTGTCGTGGCTTGTATATTTTAATGAAGTTGTTCACATATAGTACAACACGATTAACTGTCGTTCACGACTTTTATAACGTTACGACGACAGACTGTCGAGACAATGTCATAACGACAAATAAAACTTCACAATAAAAGTGTGACGACAGATAATCGCAGCCGCTACTAATGTCGTCATGTTTTATTTATCGTTGACTACACGTGCACCGATAAATGGTCGTTACGATCTAGTGGGAACAGCTAGACACGACAGTCGGTCATGACAGTCGATAAAATAAACGTCCACGACACAGATAGTCGTGATATGGGAACAAGCTAGATGCGACTGTCATCCTATGATAAATAAAACTTACGACATAATGGGGACGCGCCCTAACTAGGAAACACGGATATTAGGTAATGGCAAAGCTACTTACAAACGTTAAGTAATGTGAGTAACTTATGGTCCTTCGGCAGTGGCTCAGGAGTGGTGACGTCCAAGCCAGCTGCGTAGATATCTTTGTTCTTCAACGCGTCGTACAGTGCTTCTTGGTCAATTAATTCTGGAATTTCAATTATGAGATTTATAAGAAATAGATACAATTCCAAAGTAGAATGCTTTTACTTTGAAATTCTACAATTACATAAGAAACTAAGTAACCAATAAACTATCGACCTATAGAAATAACTAAGATGAAGATTCGAGATGATGATTTAACGGAACATTACTTTTAGCTTTACTTACTTAAATTATGTTTACTATTACACTTAGGAAAAGCGATTCTGAGCAGTATTTCGTATGTTTTTTAAATCCAATTTCATGTATCCATTTGATTCACTATGTTCTCTCTTCATTGTCAGTGTTTGCATCATTGATTTATACTTAATTGACATTTTTAAAACAATCCACATTAATTTGATGAACTTTAAAGTTCCTATTCTTTGCCTATAAGCAAATTAAAGAAAAAAAAAGACGAGTCTTACCACCCCGACCAATGTTAATGACAATAGCATTCTTCTTCATCTTAGCAATGGTGGTTTTGTTGATCATATGTTTCGTCTCATCGTTTAAGGGCACTGCCAGAACTATAAAGTCACTTTGCGATAGAAGGGTGTCGAGTGGCACAAACTCCGCATTAAGGGCTTTGCCTGGGAAAAAGTTCAAACATGTCATGACCGGAAATTAAAACAAACAACCAAGGCTGCAGCCTTGGTTATTTGTCATTGATGTAGCTCGGATTCATATTATTAAGTCAGTATTCCGAATTCATTAATTCATCTGAACGTGACTTGCACTACACTAAATACTGATGGTATTATGATCGATCGACCGATTATATATTTTATATATATTTTTATAGCTTTATTCCAATATCAGACTAACCTTCAGGTTTTTCTCTATGTCCAGTGTACAAGAACTTGGCTACTTCGAATCCGGCCAACCGTTTGACGGTAGCTTGTCCGATTCCGCCCAGACCGATGATGCCGACTGTACTACCTCGGATATCCTGACCGAGAACTTTGTCAAAACCTATTTCCCATTCGCCACTGAAACGAAAAATTAGGAATTTGCCAAATAAAATAATTTAACTTGGTCGGAGAAACAGACAGTTTTAAATTATAATCATACTGTTAGATGAAAGCTGGCCGCCAGTTTCTTCTGTCCTTACGTATGAATTTAAAATGTTAAATTTCTTCTGCGTTACCTTTATCAAACTATAATAATTTGATACGAACTAAATTGTGGTTCCAAGTTTCCGTTGAGATATAATACACAATTTTTGTTTACCTTCGGACCTGAGCTAAGTTTTCTGTAAATCTTCTAGCGGCTCCCAGCATCAGCGTAATGGCGATTTCGGCAACGGCCGGTGATAATACATTTGGCGTATTGGTCAACTGAATACCACGACTCTTCAGTTCTTTTAAATTACAATGGTTGTACCCTGCTGATGCTGTGGCCACGATCTTAAGTTGGGGACCTGAGGGGAGGTTCTATATTGTAACATAACATTTATTTTTAGTAGTAGAGCTTCTGAACGAGTTCACCTAGGGAAGTAGGGGAGCGTGGGGGAATGGGAGCCTACTAAGGAAAATTGATAATAAAAGTCATAATTTATGGAATTTAAATTTTTGTTAGTTATGAACGTACGTTTCACATTACTGGGTACTAGATAATCACAGAAAAAATGTGAAACTAAAATATTATATTTGGTTAAAAAGAAAGACTAAAACATGTCATTCGCTCCCATTACCCCACAGTTCGGGAAATGGGAGCCGGTAAGAGTCCCGTATGTCAAATGGGAGCCTTTATATAATAGGGGTTAAAGTATGAAATTGCCGATTTGTACTGAAAATCTA